GTATCCTTGTGAGCCATTGTTATGCGGTCCAAGAAGTCTTACTGGTGCTTCTTTTTGTGACATTAAATTGCAGCAAACTTCTGTTTAAGGAAGAAAACAAAAGTACGTAAAAGAAAGATTTTAACGGAGAAACCGGAAACAGTGGAGAATGTTGAGGGCGCATTTGATACGTATGTCCCAAAAGAGCAGGATGGATTCGATAACTATATGCCGCAATCGTCAGTTTTTGGGTAAGTTTATCTAAAGGTAGAAAATGATCGAAATTTAGGAATAATAATGCGTTTAAGAAAATTTTGACTGGAAATTAAAGAAAAGTAGAAAATTGAAATTCGTTTTAAATTGAAAAATATGTGATTGCTGTGCGTACTTTTTTGCGTTTTTTGCATCTATGCAATGCAAAAGCACATATTGTCGAGGGGTTGTCTGTGTGTATATGTGTCTGCTTGTGCGTCTGTACCGATTTTTCATCTCGAAACCTACAAAAACTGTAAGGGTGAAATTTTGGGAAGTCGATCTACATGCATGTGCGGGCCGTATCCCCAAAATGAACACTCTTGCCACGTGTTCCCACGTACGGACCCCAGGCAAGTGGTCAACTAGGGACTGAAAAGCTAGAAAGCTGGAATTTTAAAGAGATGTTTCTTATCAGCTTAAGACTTTTCAATTCAAATTCAGACCCACCACCTCTCGCAGGTCTGCGTTGCTCCCACGTACTCGCCTGTGAAAATTTTCGGCAGGAAAGTTGCTAACTCGGGAACCAAAAAAACTAGGAATCTGAAATTTTAAGGGGATTTTTTCTCAGAATCATAGTGGCCAGTCTCAATTCTTTTAGCTAGAAGCATCTGCCAGAAAAAAGCGGCAAAACCTGCTTGGAACTGTGCCAAAAACTCATCTTCGCACTGGCAGTCGAGGCGCTAGCCAATTATTTCCATTTAGATTATATAGTCCGAGCCATTAAAGTGCAACTCACAGAATCATATTTCGAGACCGATTTGCGCATTTCCACTTCGTTTAATTCAGTTCAGAGCACTGATAGAATACTTGTTAACTGTGATAAAATTATTTAAGGATGGGGACGGATCGATGTAAAATGGAAATTTTGGCGGAGAAGTCCGAAGCAGTGGAGGATTTTGCAGGCGAATTTGAAACATATGCTCCAAAAGAATGTGATGAATTCGATACCTATGTTCCATCATCTCCAAAAAAGCGGTAAGCTTGCTTTGTAAAACATTGAAATGCACTTCTTGAACTTCAAGGACCAATATGCCATAAATTCTAGCTGCTGGGACACCAAGCGATTTTGCAGCAGCATGAAGTACTGCAAAAATGAATGATCGCACGGATCTGCCCCTAAAATCTCAGCTTTCCAGCTTTTCTCGCTCCCGAGTTAGCAGTTTTCCCGCCAAAACTTTCACAAGACCGCACGTGAACTGGGAGCGTACCTGGGCGCTGACAATCGCATTTTGACATTGAAAAAACATATCGATTCTGAACATTGAATTTGCTAAGTTCAGTTCGGAGAAGTGATTTTTTTTTTGCCGTTTTGATGATAGGAACTTATCCGGACTGTCACTCTATTCTTTTGAGCTATGATTGCTTCGTCCAGGGCAGTACGTATAACTTCTAACGTGAGGAATGATAAGTAACGGCCATTGGAAAGCCGAATCAGAAGTGGACGGGCCAAGTGGAGCGGCCGAAGTGGATTAAATTGATAAATAATTTGCGGCCTTTGGCAGGACGAACCATAATTTCTGAAGTAAATGGCCAGTCCGAACAATGGAAAATACGGAACGGCCTAAACACTTAAATTTCAATGTTGGGCTGGAATTAGTTAATGGATTATGATGGAGGAAAGATAGTAGGGCTGTTAATGTGGTACAAATTGTATGACATGCTGAAGAGGAGGAGAGGAATGGGGAAGTAAAGGATCAGTTTCTATGTTTCCTGTTTTGGGGTAATAAACTCCATAAATCAGGATATCTGAAACTGTCATAATAGTCCAATTTTCGATTAATGCATCTGGCAACTTTTCCAATTGCTTGACCAGTGCTACTTTGTCCAGTGATGGTCAACCTACTGTAATTGTAATTTTAATTTTAGGTGGTGTGTATTTATGTAAAAAGTAATTTTTAAAAAGGAATAAAAGGGGGGCGAATAAGATAAATCGGATTAAAAAAAACCTGAATAGGAATGTTTCGGTCCTTTAAGTCGAGACGTTCGTA